TTCTTACAAAAACCTTGTGAATTATGTAATCATTTTGAAGTTTATGAGTCTCTAGTCTGTTGTTGTGGTGAACTAGTATTTGATCATGTGCATTTGCACAGATATAAAACACTTTTTTATTTGTATTTATTAATTAGACATGTACTTCTATCATATAATTAAAAATTAATTGAGCTTTAAATTTAACTTTAACCATACATCATTTACATTTGTAACATGAATAAAATAATTTATATATTTGTGACATATATTAAGAAAATTAACATAAATAAAAAAAATATTGGTTTTTTCTGATTTTTAGAAAAAAAAATATGTGTCAATCATATTTTTCTTCCAACAATGCAACTAAATATAGCGGTTACAGCTCTGAATGTGCCAATTAACTTTAAGTTCCAACATTAGTCGTTACACATTTGAATATTTTGCTGCCAAATTTAGAATTAATTTAGTAATTGATCCAAAAAATAAATAATAAAAATATATATATTAAGGTGTAACGGTTTTAGCAGATTAGTGAGTAATTAAAAAAAATGTAACTCTTTTTGGAGGAAAATGAAAATAGGTTTTATTAAATGCATCAGTTAGTAATTATATATATATATATATATATAGAGAGAGAGAGAGAGAGAGAGAGAGATATTGAGACCGATACTTTATATGAAAAGTAACTGGTAATATTATCAATATTTATCATCTCAATGTATACAAAAAATAATAAATTCGAATCAAAAGAGTATTTAGATAAGCATAAATAAAAAAATCAAGGTCAAAATTACTATTCTTTGAAAAAAAAAAATACTATTCTAAATTTGGCACAAACATAATACAAATTTGAAGTCAACTTGTGGGCTAAATAGGTTTAAACCACGCAAGCTTAAGCGGGACAAACTCAAGTAACTCGAGAATAGTTTTTGTATTAAAAGTTCAAAATTTCAAAAATTGAATTTTGGAGTCGATTATGGTCGGAGTTAGAATTGGCCTATTGGTGCAGATATCCGACGATTTGCATTTTTTTATCCCCGACCTAAGGATCATAATAGCTGTTACAAGATCAATGACCGAGATTCACCCAATTCAACGGATCAATTAATTGTGGACAACGGCAGATACAGAATTTTCACGAGTAAAAAAAAATACTTATTAGTTTAAAAAATAATTCTCCTTAAAAAAAGATTGTTTATAATATTTTTAATCCTTGTATGAGGTGATTTACCATTATGCAAGCTGATTCATTATATTTTATTAAACAAGAATGCATACTTATGCTATAAAATGTCATTTTTTATGTTGATTTTTAAAATGTCATTCAATTTGAAAGTGTCATATATACTAGAAAGTACAATTCTCTAACCATTAGGTCTGCTAGACAATAGCCATATTGTATGTATTTTCAGCCTCTAATCTCAAACAGGAATGCTTGTAGTTGTCCATAAAAAAGGAGTTGCGCTTACATTACAAT